TCGATTAATAGCTTTAAGGCTTGTCATCGATTGACTATTATTATGCTGCAGTTGCGCCATTTATCCGCATTCTGGGGGCCACCCTAGTTGATTCGATTTTTACACGATTGACTTTTGAATGAACCAAAAAGCTCTCTATATTATTAAACTAGACCTTATTTTTATTAAATTTAAGCAAATTTTAAATCTCTATCTTTAAAAATAAGAGAGAAATAGCGATTTGAAAAATACATGTTTTAATACTTTAACAAAGATTTTACACAGTTGACTTTTGTATGAATTAAAAAACGCTCTATATTATTAAACTAGAACTTATTTTCATTAAACTTAAGCAAATTTTAAATCTCTATCTTTAAAAATAAGAGAGAAATAACGATTTGAAAATTACTATATAAATTCGGAAAAATTACAGGGTATGTAAAAAAATTTTATACCGATTTTTAATACATGATCTTCAATAGATTTGTAAATCTTATAATATCGCATACCCCAATAAGACATACGCTATTCTATAAATTTATAAGGAAATGATTCTCTTGCTTATCCACAAATTGCAAAATGATTTTTTATTTCTTTCTTACATTATTTCTTACCCTTACAGTTCCTTTCATGATCCCTGTCGTACTGATTAGCTTCCTTTTGCTCTCTCCCATTTGGGCTGCGCTTTCCAGGTACAATTTTAAGAAGAAATTTTTAATGAATAAATTTTTAAAGTGAAAAATATTTATACTAATAATGTCATTTTAATAATAAGTATCTATATTGTTAGAAAAGTCCTGGAATTTTGTTCTAAAAACAAAAAAGACATGAGTGAAAACCCTGATGAAGGTTAGAAAGGCAAATTAAAGGACTTGTTTAAGATCTTTTTCTTGTCACATCTAATAATATATTTTAGATTCTTTTTCATCATCACTTTTATCAGCCCTTAAAACAATCTTTCCTAATGCATCCGCAGGTGAAATTGCAAGTTATGAAAAGCAGCTTTCCAATATAAAAGAACTCGACCCCATACTTATCATAACACCAAATAGTGCATGGGTCAACCAGTATGGTTGGCCTGCGTATGATGCTATAATAGATACATTTGCCACCTATGGCCTCCCACTAAACCATCGTAGAGACAATCTTTCACGCTGTATGTTCCATTTTAAAGATGCAAGCGCTTTATATTATGTATATCGTGGAATTAAAGGCGGGAATTTAGCACCAAGTGCATTTAGTCTACCACCAAGTGTGCGAGCTAATTTCCCAACCACGCCACAAGTACCAATTGGCACTGCATGGATTTTACACAAAATTGGAAGTTCTAGCGATTTCGCCAAGGATGAAAATTTTTTTATAATGGTATATATTTCTTATTAGATTAACACAATGTTGATGTAAATGATGCATGAATAAAACCAGAGCTTGGAACCTGTTTTTTTCATTTGTTAAACCCGATTAAAACCGGTTTAACGCATGAAAAGTAAAACCGGCTCCAAACCCTAATAGAGATCTTCAAAGAAAATAGTGTTCTTTATCACTGTTTAAAATCTTGAAATTCTACACATACTAAACATAAAAAATGTCAAATATTTAGAATTAACAAAGTTCAGAAGCCCAATTCGATGTTTTTTTTTTTTGAAAGATTTTCCTATATGGTGTTTACCATGACTGCTAAATTTTTAAAATTTAAAGATTATTGACCGATCAGTTTGGGTATCACATATACCAAAACATGTCCATCAATATTATTGCGATCATCTGTACGACTTTTTTACCCATCATCACCCTTATCAAAATACATAATATATGGCAGTAATAATAGGTCATACAGTCACAGCGATTGATAATTATCAATGTAATATTTTGAATTTATACGGCATTTAGAATTCATATGACATTTGGGATTCATGCTTGCATCTCTAGTCCCAGGTTTTCTATTTGCTATATAAAATAGGCTTTTAATACTAACGACAAAATTAAACCAAGTATTGAGAAATCAATTTTTAATATCTTTATATTCAAGACATCGAAGTGTGTGGAAAAACTTTATTAAAGCGAAAATTCATGTATATTTCCCTCCCTATGAGCTGCTGAACTCCTTCGCTTCCTTCACTGCTCCGACACAATATTACCTCGTTGTGCACGGGTTATGAACAACCCGTGCCTGGACAACCCATCCCTATTTCTGCGTAACAAACTTTAACCAAAATAATATTAAAAAAAAAGCGCGATTGTGCCAATGTCATGGTTTCCCGTGAGAATATTTATTTTAACTCTGTCACAAAAACTTGCAAAAAAGTCAATAAGAAAATGGAAGAAAATCAATTAGATTTTACCTCTTTACCAATATTGGATTATAGTCTCGCTCATAGTCTTAAAAAAAATGAATTCTTATCTCAACTTCGTAATGCACTTTTCCATGTTGGTTTTCTATATATCAAAAATCATCCGATTCCTAAGGTATTTATAGTAGAGTAACTTTTTAACCGTTTTAAAATAATAATCGATATTTGTATTGTATTCAAATAGGAACTTGTCACAAAAATCAAATCATATTCCATTCAATTGTTTGATCTTCCAACTTCCGAAAAATTACGAATTGAAATGTGTAATTCACCACATTTTCTTGGATACAGTAAATTAGCTGCAGAAAAGACTAAAGGTATAGACGATAATCGTGAACAATTTGATTTTGGAGCAGAAGTTCCTTGTACTTGGAAAGAAGGAGAACCTATATATAGAAGACTTAAAGGACCTAATCAATGGCCTGATGAGAAATATATTCCTGGTTTCAAAGAAACCTTGTTGGAATATATTAAAAGAATGTCTGATTTTTCTTTAGAATTTATGCAACTAATAGCATCAAGTCTGAGTCTCCCTCCTGATTCTTTAAATAAATTTCTAGACCCATATGATAAACAGATGAATCGTTTAAAGGTGAGTATTTAACTCTAGTAATCTTGAAATTTAAATTTATATAAAGTAATAATTACAATGCGTGTGGATATTGTACATACCTTAGATTGTTAAATACCCATCATTAAATACATTAACTTTGGGTTCAGATGGTATTGTACAAGGCGTTGGTCCTCATAAAGATCCTTGGTTAACATTTCTTCTTCAAGTTAATGATGTATGGGGTTTACAAGTTCAAAACCATAAAGGTGATTGGATAGATGTTCCACCAACTGAAGGAACATTTGTTGTGAATATTGGGTTAGGAATTGAAGCCGTTACTAGAGGGGTAGCTGTGGCCACAACACATAGAGTTATCAATCCACCTCCGGATTCAATTCCAAGAATAAGGTACGTACTTTGTTTTATAAAATTGATTTGTTTATTAGATGACATAGTATTTTTAATTACGTACTTTTTTAATCACAAAAAAAATTTTTTTAATTATATATAATATTTATATTTTCTTCTTCTTTTCGATGAAAAGTATACCTTTCTTTCAAATGATATCTAATGATACGATGCTTGAACCATTGGATGTTCCAGAAGATATAATTCGACAGGCACCAACATCTGTCATATCTGATGGTATGCATTCCTACTATTATCATTACCATTATTATTATTATTTTTTTTAATAACCAATAAATGTATATATAGTTAATATATTTTCATTTCATTAGCTGATACAGTTTATCATGAGCGTTTCTATAAAAATGTTGGTAATGCACAAATTTTAAATCGTCTTAGGTAAGGTAACGCCTAGAAACTTTATAATGTTATGTTGAACATATATCGATTTATTTTTTTGTCTATTCAAGTTCACATCCTGAGGCAGGTAAACGTCATTACCCTGAATTGTTTGCCGAATTAGAAAACAAGAATTGAAAAGCAACAAAAAAATTTAACGATAAAAAATTTTTTTTAAGTTGAATAAGTGAATTATCATTATGAAATATTAAATTTTCCAAAACAAACATGAGCATATTCTTTTGTTAAGATATAAACTTCCTGTACAAAAATTACTTATAAGCGTGAAATAACGTTATTTTGAAATAATATAATTAAGGTTGACAAATGGTGCGTTTTTGCGCGAAATGGAACAGTGGAGCGTTTTTCCTTACATATAAAAAAAAAAAACTTTTTTTTGTTCTAAATAATAAAATATGTGCGCGTGATTGGCTAATTTACGTATGTTATAGCGATAGCGATAGGCATCGACTATGTAATTTCTAGGTGGTACAGTTTCGAAATAACGCACACGGGAATTGTTACGCGAAAATACGGGTTTAATATTACTATATTAATGTCATGTAAACAAAAACTCGTGATAACCGAAAATTATCTTGACGAGTGTGCAATACATGGGCGTTATTCTGATTCAAGTTCTATATGTCGAAATAATACACATGGGTGCATTAAAAATAACATAACATCCATGAACGTTATTTCGCTTTTTGGCCCGAGTTAAGCTTAGTTTAGGCCAAAATTCGAAATTACACCCCTACGTGAAGGCGTTATTTCGCGTTTATACGATACGATATTATGAAATTATATTCGAGAACATTTTTTATATTAGAAAAAATGTATTTCTTTTCTGTCAAGTATATTAAAATGTTACAAATTGTGATTGTAACAACTTTCTGTATTAAATAACATCTAAATGTAATTAAGACTATGGTCTAAAAAATCTATGTAAATAAATACAGAAATTTCATTTTATGAGTGAAAAACAATTATTAAACATCAACACAAATTCAAAATAAGGCGATACAATTAATTAATAGTGTAACATATCTCAAAAATTATTCAGGCTGGTAATATTCCAATCATGATTCGTTACCTAGAATCAACGTTACATCTAGCTAAAATACATGTAAAGTAATAAAGACCATTTCATATTATAACTTACTCATCAGATCATTTAATCTTATGGATGGTGTTGGAGCAGGACCCAATTGCATGTTACTCTTCCAAACATAAATATCTTCAATTTTTTCATTCCCTGGTCTTAAATCTAATAGCCTTACATCTGTAGCATTACCATATTCGACTTTCTCTTCATCTACAGAATTTTCAATTAAATAAGACTCTCCAACATTCTTAATCAATTCTTCAATCTCTCTCTCTTGAGCCTTGCTTTGATCGATTAAAAATTGTTTTAGCAATGTTTCCAATTCTTGACCATCTACTGTTTCTTTGGAAGATAAGAAAGTTTGTAAATTTTCGATCGTTATTGTGGTTAAACCTTGAGCGGTTAAACATGAATAAAGATGATTAATATCTATTGGTTTTGATTTTTTAATGTTTTTTTGTGATCGAAGGTGAACCGATAATTTTTTTTGTATGGGTGAAGATGGATGGACTAATTGTTTATAAAACTCGAGTAGCTCGAGTTTTGTAATTTCACGTAATTCTGCTACGTCAGTTTCAACTATTACGGAAATGTAAAAGCATAAATAGTGTATTAATACAGCGTATTAGAATATATAGACATTTATACATTTGCAAAGATGTAGAAATACCTTGATTGAAGTCATAATATCCAGAATCAATATGATTCCAATATCGCTGAGCTTCTTGATAAAGATTCTTTGGTTTTTCCAATTTTTTTGTGATAAGAGATTGAATTTGCCTTTGATATTCTTCTTCCGGCATTTCTTCAATCAAAATCTATTTAAACAAATATATATACACATATATATATTTAAGTAACTAGATTATTGGTCAAAAACATTCAAATATAAAAAACTCTTTTATTTGAATTTACCTGTAATGTGTTGAAAAAATCTTCAATCTTATTCTCAAGATAAACAGCATCCTTTTCACTTTGTATGATAATCCTTACACCCAATGAACTAGCCATTCTGCGCAATCCACTAAAAACAATGTATCCTAAGAATAGAAAAAAAGATATATAGGTGATTTAATAATGTCTATATTAAAATAATATAATAAATATCTTATTAAATGGGTGTCGTAAAGAGAAAACCTAGAATTGTGAATTTGGGATTCATTAAATAGCATTTATTAAAGAATTTATTATAAACCATCAGGAATTTTGATCACTTTCTGAAAGTGAAATTTCCGAAATCAAGAATTTTAGGTTTTCGCTTTGAGACACCCAAATAACTAGTTCATACAATTAAACACTTATTGTTACCTAATTGTTCTTTGGTTCGAAGTTGATCGAAACATGGCTCGTGCATAATCTGTGCCAGCAAGCTTGATTTTGCTCGTAACCTTTTATTAACTACATTTCCTACTTGAACATAATATTCTATCGCAGAATTAACATTATTTGGATCTAGAACTTCACGTTGATATAAATATCTTTTCCCCTCTGGTAACATTATACTTCTACAACCAATTAACTCTGCTGGTAAAAGAGGTTTAGGTTGTAAAACATCCTCAACGATTTGCAACAATCTTAAAGCTTCCTCCTTAAACATGTTTCCATGAACTAATGATTCAATATGCAAATGACTAAATAATTCTGGATAAAAAGCTTTTATATCTTGTTCTGTAATATCTTCTAATGCATCCAATTTTTCTTTATTTGTCCACATTTGATCTTGTGTTAGACATGAAAGATAATATGTAGCATGATGATGAGGAGGATCAAGAAAAGTATTTTTGTATGCTCTTTGGAGTCGTTCTTTAACTTTTTCAAATCTGCCTGGATAAATAATAAATTTTGGGTTCATTGCATCCACAATATCTTTCAAGAGCACATGAAGCTTGTCATTATATCCCTTTATTGTCAAAAGTATTCCCTCACGCTGTGTGTCAATGTCGTATCTTAAACCAGCAAGGTCAGCGTTATAAGAATATTCAGTCAAGTTATCTTTTACTAATTCAGTGTAGAGCCTATATTAAATGTATTAAACGCTTTAATCATTTTGATTACTTTTATTCATTAAAAAATTAATCAATTACTAACTCACCTGGTTTTTATACAGTGCGATGGTGATGGCGCGTATGCTAAAGGACTAATTATTTATGTATATTAAGTAATGTTTTGAAAATATATTTCTAAAATAATGAAATTGAAGAAACTTTTAAACGCACATATAAAAGTAATGAAATGAAAAACATTTATTAATACCTCTTTAGCAAGAAATATGTGCTAACTTTTGGTACCCAAAATGTATCGTCTTTTTTATGCCACAATCGAGAAAGTAACGTGCTTTTAATAATGTTTGGACATGTTTGTGGCTAAAAAAAAATAGTCATTGTATTAACATAATATTAAATTTAAGTTCGACATATTTGACATATTACAATAAATTTATATTATACCGTAACAATTTCATGTTTATGCGTTTCAAATTTTGTTGGAATAAATTCATTAGGGGGTGGAATGTTTAACTCGGGATCAATTTCTAGATTTTTCAATTCCTATTGATATATATATATAATATGTAAAATATGTAAGAATAGTTGATTTAAGGTTATTTGACAACATTACATAAGATAATAGTTTAAGTAATACCTCGATGAATTCCATGCTAAAAGGTTCAACTTTATACTCAGTTCCATACCACGGTTCTTTTTGATCTAGGCCAGTAAATGACGGACTAACCAAAGTGAGAACAAACTTATCCCACTCTAAACATTTTAATCCTTCAACTATAAGTTTAGGATTATATTCTCGAATAAGATATGACCCACTTATGATACAGTCGCGTGCTATTATTTTAAAGTTGAAAAAAAATTAACAAGAATAGTTTTAATAAATTTAATAAATGAATCAAAATAAAAATATGTTTAACGTACAAAATGGGTTTTGCATGAGACTCGCAAGCTTCGAAGCATAGCCTGCTGGAGCAGATTTTTCTTTAAATCGAAATGAAATTTCTGCTAGAGATTGAACCTTTTATAAAATAACATGTTAATAAATTATAAAGATCTCGAAATATAAACGATAAATAAACCATGAAAGAAATATATACTTCTCGAAAGCACCATTCTTGAATACCAATTTGTTTCAACATTTTAATATATTGAAACACGACTTTTACTACCTCTTTATAATGATCTACTCCAGATTCTGTTAGGTCTATTGACACTTTAAAAAATTCAAATCCAACAGCTCCAGGAACAGAACCAGCTTCTAAATAATTTGCCCAGCCTAAAATACAGTAATAATCATGCCAATTATTAAATTAATTTTTAAAATATCAAATGAATTAAAATTAAATTAATTAGATTGAATTTGATTGTCTTACCCTTTTTTTTGAGAAGAGACAAAATAGAACCATATCCTTCATGAGAAATTAAATGGGTTAAATACCTTCCTGGCTATTAATAATTGTGATTAACAATTTTTTTTTTTACATAATATAAATAAAAATACAAAGATCACACAAATTTCATACTTTTGAGGTATATAAAGGCGCCTGTTCTATGAAAGGAAAAGTTATTTCTAAAGAACGTATATCTTTAACCGGTTTCACAAAAACTTGTCTCTAATAATTAAAAGAAAATGAATAATTCTTAAACTATGACATAAATAATAAATGTATATAATAAGCAATGATTTTTATCAAAACTTGAATGTACCAATAATTCATTTTGAGTCAATGGATGACCTTCAAATGTAGGAGCTGGAATGTGTTTATTTTTAACAGCAGAAAATTTATCGACAACCCATGAAGCCATTAGATCCAAAGGATCTATAAACCATAAATAAGTAAGAAAAGATTTCAAAATAAAAAAAGCAATTATCCGACAGCTTATTATGATTTGTCTGCAGAATAAATTTATTATTCAGTAGAAACTAAATAGTTGCCGAATAATAAATTTATTCGACCAATTATCATCATAATAAGTTACCAGATAAATTCAGGTAATGCTGCTTGATAATTATAATTACCTCTACCCAAAACGACCAATTTCATCAAGTTGGCCGAGTAATATCTTTCATGAAATTTTAATAATTCATTTCTTATATCTAAACCTTTTTGACGTGGAATATCCCCTAAAGAGAACAAGTTTCCAGACCCAAAACGAGAATAAGGATGCTTTGGATCAGACAAAGACCTTTCCAGTTGGAATAAACGCCATGGATCAGATTGACGATTTTTTTTATGTTCTGTGAACAATGAAATGTTACAACATTAATATCCATTATATGATAACTAGGAACTTTTTTTTTTTTGAACATTTATATAACTGACCTGAATCAACAGCGAGAATTTCCCTCTCAGTGCAGCTAGGGTCGAAAATCGGGGAAATGAAGAACTGCGAAAATCTAGGATAATGTATAATATAAGGGATGTGTTAAACGTCTAGTACAATTAATACAATTAATATAATCAATTAGTGTCGCGGCTGATGTTGAAATTATGGAGTCTCGATTTAAATTATATTCCCTGCTAAAATCCACATCATTTTAATTATTAATTCTAGTCCAAGACCCTAACCCAACCCTAAAAAAAAAGACGGTAAAAAAATTTAAGATTTTCATAACAAAATTCCATCATCAGCCGCTACACAATTAATTAATTATAAACTTATAAAATTATAAAATTGTGGGAATTAATAAATTACAAATTGCAAGCACTAAAAAATCACCTATCAAGTGCACCCTCTAAAAACTCATAACCAACTTCAAAATAATAATTTGTATTATCTAATCCTGTATAAGCATTGGAATGGCCACTATGTTTTGATAAAAACTAGAAAAAAAAAATGAATAAAGTTTAATAAATAGGTGCATAACGTATAAAATGGAAAAGACTATGTATGAAGGAAATTAGAATATTACGCTATTATATTCATTTTCTTTTGGATACTATAAAGATTAAATAAGAATTAATAGACTTAATAGAATTGATTAGAAATTGATTAAAATTGATTAGAATTTATTAGGGATATTTTAATACCTTTTTAGTACCCTATATCGAAAAAAAATATTAAATGTTAAGAAACAGGAAAAGAAGTATGTTTTTTGTAATATTATATTATATATTATTATATATTACCATGAATAACAAATGCTCACAAAAATGAGCTAGACCTTGTAAATCGTCCTGGATATTGAAACACAATACAAATACATATAAATAAATAATGCAAACCCACCCAAATTAAGCATAGAATTTGATAATTTGAAATTTTACCGGATCCGAGAGATTTCCTACGCAAACATCCAAAGAAGCACTACTTTTATCGGTAGTTGGATCATGGATTAGCAAAGCTTCCAATTCATTACTTAATCGAATTAATCGATAGTCTCTATCATCGTTGTTTGACTTCTCAATGGGAGTTGCTAATACAGCGTGCGAGCGATCAGAAGAAAGCACAAAATTTGGAGGAAGGTTTACAAAAGAGGTCATTGTTACAAAGCTGGAAGAAGTGGAAGATAAATGAGAAAGTTGAGTTCTGACGCACGCGTTATAAAATAACTATCCAAACGGGGTTTTAAAATCAAAAAAGTGACAGTTCTCTGTGCTGCAGATAAAGAATTCTAAAAAATTATTAACGTTAAAAAGCAAAAATGTACTGAAAATGAAGTAATATGGTATTGAACCTTTTAAGTATTAGAGCGAAAAAAAAAGATATAATGATGACGATATCACAATTATTAATTTGAAAAATTAATTATTGATGATCACCTACTTTGAACAATAAGGCAAATTTCTATATGAAAACCAACGAGCCTTGGCAAAGTAACTTGTAACTAGTGAACTTGATCTAAAACATGACATTGATAGACAAACATTAAACTATCGCTATCAATCTGCAGAAAATCAGATCGGCACATTTAGATTTAGAGTATGTCGTACATGCTTTAAAATACGTATCGGTATCGGTAAAGTAATTTCTTTTATAACCGGATAAATCTTTTATAATCAACACACTAGTGATCGTATTGGTGTATTTTATTTCATAGTGAAATTTAGAATTTAAGGTTAAGATAAATTAAAAGCCAGGAGTTAAAGATAGGCTACGTAGAAATAAAGTCTTTTTTTTTTTGGATACCGATACTGAGTAGAGCATCACAGGTCGAAATAAAAGCATATGGGTTCAAATCTAGTTCAAATCGGCATTATTTTATCCGAGATAGGTCCGATTTCAAAACAGAAATTTGACTCGAATAGGATACCAATAGGATAAAAACCGAATTCACACCGGCTTTAAGACATATCAGAATTCCAATAGCAATAGCACTATAAATTTATCTATAGAGCTATCAGTATTCTGACATGTCTTAAAGCCGGTATGAATTCGATTTTTATCCTATTGATATCTATTCGAGTCAAATTTCTATAATAAATTGGAATTAAATCATGCCGATTTGAACGATATGCTTTATTTTGACCTGTGAAGTATTAACGTTAACTAGTTTTAAGATATAGTAACTATAGTGTTAAATACTACCAATGTGATTTAGTAAAGTCATTGTATCAGATATATATAGTTAAGCAGGGGATAGGGTATGTCTTAGAATTGTAAAGATATGCACATTAACTTAAGAGATTGTACTCGGGTAAACATTTTGATTATATGGCTATCCGGATAACCGGGTAAATTAAAATACCCCGATCACTATATCAAGATTACGGAGTATTTTTTATTACAATACCCAAGTAGAAATTTTCATGACGGGCACAATCTCTAACCACTGACATTAGTAAACGTTGAATTATTATAAAAAAAAAAAAAACGAGCAACAATTTTTTATTCGATTTAATAGCTAATAAACACAAAGAGGTACCTTTAATTTCAACTCTCTATATATGGTTTCCCTTTTAACGATGATTATACTATTAGGTACGTACGTACGTACGTGCGCATGCACACGGTGCGAAATGTCCGGAACGCGCTAATAATGATTATGTGATAGGAATTTTAACGTTAAAGAAAGAAAGCTCTAGAATTTTAAATGATCTACATCACGTGGACAGAAATTTCGATTGGGTTAATTCGGACAAACCATATAGGATAACTTTCTTCTGATTGGTCAATCGCTTTCAATTGTATTTATACAGTTTAAAGTACTTTTTAAGAAT